CATGCTGGCTGGGGAATTCTGGGAGTTGAAGTCCACTCATCTTAAAGTGGCCAAGTTTGGACAACACTGCTTTAAAGTAACAGCTTAGCAAGAAGCTGCTAACCTGTTGCATCAGTCCTTCCTAAAATCTATTTCTGACACATTTTAGCTGACATATTCTTTCTATGGCTAGCATGAATGCATGATGGGGAAAAATGCAAAAGAATATTCTTAGGTATGTTTCTAGAATTAACCTATCAGCCAAAGCCTGCAAACAAGGGAAAAAGTATGTTATTGGATAGGAATTTAGTCCCTATCCATTCAATTTTTTAAACACAATGTAAGATAATAAGGAAGGGTATGTTAATATCCATATTTTGTTTAAGCAGCGTCTGTTTGGATGTTTATTGGAACAAAGAAAAAAATATACTTTCTGACATAAAAGAAGTTACTCATGCCCTAGTCACCTCCCAACTGGATTACTGTAATGTACTCTACATGGAGCTGCCCTTGAAGAGTATCCGGAAGGTTCAGCTGGTACAAAATGCAGTGGCGTAGGCAGTTATGTGTGCTTCTAGAACAGCATGTTACCCCTCTGCTCCGCGAGCTGCAATGGTTGCCAGTTTGCTTCTGGGTCCAATTCAGGGTGCTGGCTTTGATCTTTAAACCCCTTCATGGCATGGGGCTGGGTTATCTGAGGGACCGCCTCTCCCTGATTATATCTGCTCATCCCATCAGTTCCAGCAAGAGAGGCATGCTGTGGGTCCCGTCTCTCAGGGAACTACACTTGGCAGGCCCAAGGAGGTGGGCCTTCTCTGCCGTGGCACCCGCCTTATGGGACTTTCTTCCCCCCACCCCGAAGTGAGGTCAGCTCCATCCCTCCTTATTTCTCGGAAGTCCCTCAAACCTGGCTGTGTCATCAGGCCTGGGGGTCTCAGGGGACCGGTGAGATCTTGAGGTGGCTCCCTTGCTGATCCAGTCTCTTGTTTTTTGCTTTGTATTTTACTTTTTAAGATGACTGTGTTTGACATATTTATTGTTTTATATGTTTTGCTGTATGTTACCCAGAGTCACTTCTTGTGAGATGGGCAGCTATATAAATTTTGATAAATAAATAAAAAGAAGTAGGTTTTTATGATTCTATGGTTCCTTTGGTCATGCTGGGTAGGAATTCTGGAATTTAAAGTCCCAACACATCAAGAAATAAGAAATGAGGGAAGGTTTCTGTATGGGTACCACCTGATACTTTTCTCAAAGAAAGGCTGGCATATAAATATTAATCAGTTAATTAATTCATGATACTAATACAAAATCAGTTCAGACTTGTATTAAAAATTATCATGTGCTTGAATGGTCATTTCTATTCTCAACAACCCAGATAAATTTGCTATGAATATCTGCTGGGGCAATTCTGACACTAATGTAATTACAGGAGACATTTTTTTCCCTTATTTATTTGTTTGTTTGTTTGTTTGTTTGTTTATTTAACAAATTTATATGGCCGCCCATCTCACTGAACAGGACTCTGGGCGGTGCACAACCAACAATTAAAACAATGTCAGAACTGTTAAAACACTTTAAACAAACACTTAAAAGCAAGACTGTGGGAGGAGAACATCCATCTAAACATGGTATAACCATTGCGCAAGCTCCCCATTGGATCCCCGAGGTTGCTGAAAGAACCACATTTTCAGGGCCTTCCGAAAGGCTAATAGAGATGGGGCTAATCTCACTTTGTGGGGGATGATGTTCCAGAGGGCAGGAGCCACAGCAGAAAACGCACATTGCCTGGTTCTTGTCAGATGGAACTCTTTAGCAGACAGGACCCACAATATACCCTTCCTGCTGGACCTGATGGGTTGGGTAGATGTGATCAGATAGATTTAACAGAAATATCAAAATAGAATTGACAAGTTTCATCATACCCAACTTGAAAGAACCTTATCTATTCATTTAGAGTCCGACTGGACAAGCTGTAAAAATAATTATTGGGTGTTTATAATTTGGAGCTGTAGAAACAAAAGCTGTTTTATTTGGCAGAAGAAAAACAAAAATGGCAGGTAACAAGGTCTACAGGATCACTAGGTGCCCTATTAAGGAGAGGATAATTTACTAAGGAATATCGTAGAATCCTTAAAAATGCAGGATGAATTATATTGATATGCTTCATCATGGCACCTGTCTGAAATTGTATCTAATCACTCACAATCATTACAGATTTCTGGAATGTATGTTTTTGATCTAAATTTGGCCACCTTTAGACCATTTCATCTGTTTTTGCATGTTAAAGATGCTGGCTTGCTGATAGTTCCAATCAATAATTATCTGATTCACTGGACATACTGTGGATATCTTGTTGGACTCATTTCTCTTCTTTGTTTTTCTGAGATAAATAACAAAACTCGGGTAAGCAGCACTGTAGAAATCTACAGCTCTGAAAGAATATAAAACATGTAATAGAGTAGTTTGCATTTTTATTGTTATCTAAATCTCTGTTTAGTCACAGACAGTTTGCACCTGTTCAGTTTCACTGGATATGTAGGCTGGGGAATTCTTAACAAGTATTATCAAAAGTAGGAAACAACTCAAAGGATCCTGCAATAGGGAACAATTTGATACATCCCTCTGACCAGAAATTCAGATCCTGATTATCCACACATAGCATACAGGCTCATGGAATACCCTCCAAGCCAGTGTTTCTCAACCGTGGCAACTTTAAGATGCATGGACTTCAACTCCCAGAATTCTCCAGCCAGCATACTGGCTGGGGAATTCTGGGA